TGCATGTGCATGTACATGCACACCATGCATATGCACACACATGTACACACACACCATGCAATTGCACACACATGTACATGCACACCATGCATATGCACAAACACAAAAAAGTAATATAATAATGTATTGTGACATTTTTCACATTTATAATTGTACTTCATTACTTTTTCAAATTCTTCCTTCCCGTCCTCCCCCACCTCCCACCTTGTGAGTGTGTGTGTGTATGTGTGTGTGTGTGTGTGTGTGTGTGTGTGTGTGTGTGTGTACATATGACTATGGAGGCCAGGAACAGACATTTGATCTGCTGAGTTGGAGTTCAGGGGGTTATGATCCCCTTGACATGAGTGATCCAACTCCAGATTTCTAGAAGAGCAGCAAGAAGAGGTCTGCCCACCGCTTAACCAACCCTCTGGCCCCATTAAAATAATTTTCTAATCCTATGGGAACTGTTTACATGTTAAAGCATTTGCTGACTCGGATTCTGTAAGTCTTATGGAAAGGCCACAGCAATTCTGAGACCCATGTCCCTACGAACCTGTGCCCGCTAGTTCAGAGAGAAAAACAGTGAGATTTGGCAGTGGTGGAAGCTGCTGTAGAAGTCTCAAGCCTCTAGAGAGAAGAAAAGTGAGGTTTGGCAATGGTAGGAGCTGCTGTAGAAGTCTCAAACCTCTAGAGAGACTGTGATGAGTTTCTGTTCCCAAATTCTCAGCACAGCTCCCATCTTACCTGTGCTGAGCTGAGTTGATTCCTGAGACGCTTTCATGGTACCGTCATCAGGTCACGTGATAGTTAGCCTAATTGCAGTCACTTCTATCCAATGAGCATGCTCATCAGGCAATAGCAATGGATTCAATGATCTACAGCTGAGATTTGTAAGCCACGATAACTCTGCCTACACAAAAGGAATTAATGTGGACAGAGATATGATTCAGTGACTAAGAGACCTTGCTGCTCTTGCAGAGGACCAGAGTTCAGCTCCTAGACCCCATATCAGGTTGCTCATAATAGCCTGTAACTCCAGATCCAAATGACCCAACACCTTTCTGGGCCTTCCTCCAGTACCCACACAAATGTTCACATGTGCACACACACTCGCACATACAGAAAAGAAATAGAAAACTCTTTCTTTAAAGGAATGAATGAATGAATTCCTAAGTCATAATTTTGACATCTTTGTCCTGCTCATTTGCTGCTGGAAGCTGAGAAAACAGTATTCGATAGAAGCCATATCTCAGTTAGCCACTACTAGTGCTGAAGTATGAAACACAAGCCTAGATATGTCATGGGGTTTCTGACACTCGCTGCTGAATGAATGAAGACCATGTCAATTTCACCTTTCTGTTCTTCTACAGTTTGACACCAGAGCACAGTGTAATGAGGGAATCAGCCCATATCACAGATCATCAAACTCAACCTCTGGTCCAAATCCAGCCTGGCATCTGTTTTTGTAAATAAAGTTTTGTTGAAACACAGCCATGCTCATTTGGTTATTTATTGCCTATGGCTGTTTTCACACTACGACTTGCATAGCTGAGTAGTTACAGCAGAGACCATCTGGCCTGCAGAGCTGAAAATATTTACTATCTGGCCCTTCACCAAAAAAAGTTTGCTGAATCTTGATCTATATTAAGGCATTGGGAGTTTTCTTTGAGGTTAAAATAATTTGGCAACTAGAAGAATTTAAGGCTATTTCAGGGCAGGGCTTGGATCAAGAAAAAAAGATAGTAGCTCTCAGTAAGAGTAAGAGTTCATGAAAAGGGAGAGCAAGGGGGTAGGGGTGGGGACAGACACAAAGATCAGGAAGGATAGCCAAGCAGGCCGCTTTCTCATGCTCTGTCTTGAGTCATCACCCCCCCCCCCCCAGGATTCACACATTGAAAGCTTCCCTCTTTGATGCTGCAATGTTGGAAGGTGAGGACTACTGGGAAGCTTTGGTCATGGGGGCAGGGCTCTTCTGAGGAGTTATCATGGGGCTAAGTTCCTGACACAGCTGTGTCATGAAGTGAGTTCTCCCCTGCACTTTCTCTTCTCATGGGTACTTACATACCTTCTGCATTCCCACAAAGGATATCCTCTCACAGGAACCTTGCCAAACACGGTTACCATGACCTTGGCTTCCCAGCTTCAAGAATCTTGAGCCAATTTGGACTTCTATTCTTTGTACATTACTCAGGCTTTAACAGAAAATGGATGAGACACTTTGTAACAGTTGTCACTGAGTTGTTCTCCACAAACTATGGATATCACTTCTCTACAGATTAGAAGAAAACTGCTGTAGAAATTAAAACAAAAAAATCCCTAGCTCATAGCTGAGTGATGGGAGCAGTTAATTACTGTCTGACTAAACTAACCCTCCCTAAGACAATACTCAGTATACCTGGTCTGAATCCAGGATCCATCTTTTACAGGGTGCCTAGACTTTGCAGTAGGCTTTAGTAGAAACATGGAAAAATAAAACCTTGTAGCTTCAGTTTGTCAAAACCAGACTGTGGATGACAGATCTACAAAGAAATCCATCTTCCTCTCCCTCTGGCCTTATCTATTTTCCCTTCTGCCCAAATGCCAAAAACGAAGCACAGCTATGTTTAAAATGCTTGCTAATTTCAGCCATTTATGTGCACTGCTTGTCTATTACAGCATTAGTATCATGGAGCACAGTTACAGTTATTAATATCATTAAAGATGCATGCATTAACTTACCAATGATTTTATTGTCCACTTTCTGAATAGCTCAAGCAATAAGCAGAGAGGTAATTGCATTGCCTTTAAAGTCAAGGACCTCCACTGAAGTTTCAAGTCTTTCCTAAGCATGTATTGCCTTGAATAAATCAATATCATTTTATTTTAGCTTTCTCATCTATAAAGGAAAAATCATCTACTATATTTGGCATTTAAAGGATACTACAAGATGAAAAAAGTATAAAACCTGTGATATTTAGCTCTTGGAGTATGGTGGACCATCTCCCTAAGACATAGGAAAAAGGGATTCCTGTGATTGGGTAGATACTAGCTGGAAATCTCCTGTTTCTTTCTCCTTCTCATCTATTACTGTTCATTCCCCTGTGGCTGAAAAGACACTCAAAGCAAGAGATGGGATATTGACAGTTGCATTCTGACCACTCTCTACTTAAACCCAGTCAACCCCATAGGACATATTGACTTAGGTTCTACAGCAGTTAAATGTGTGAAAGATTCTGTGTGGTCATTGAAGTGAGCCAATTCTTTGAAGGCTCATCAATGTTAACATGTAAAGGGCGGTAGTTTTAGAAAATACTGTCTGTTACCTGAGGAATGAGACTAAAATAATGGTCTTCTTAAAAAAATAATCATAGAGATGAATTTCAATTATTCTGGTTGTATTTTTTGGTTTCAAGTTTTGGTGTTTTCATTACACAGATTTTAATTTTAAATTGGTAAAACATTTCTATGCATTTTTCAAAATAAGCAGCCCTATTAATTTCTACTTGTCAAATTATTTTAAAATGTTATAAACATTTTTATAGATCTTTGGGGAAATTTTAGTAAGATTTTAAGTGCCTCTTAACTGAAATGAAATGATAGTGAGACCCGGGAAGGGAAAGAGCCCATGTGGTAACCACCCATACGAATAGGAATTAATACACCATACTACCCTAACTGACACAAAATCATCAAATAACATTTTGTGAAAAATATAGATTGAAGTTTGAAGATCTAAATCCTATTATGCTATGTAATTGTAAAAGGAATATGCCCTTAACATGTTTGTTGAATGTGAACTAAATACCAAACAATTACTTTAAATGTGTAAATTAATCAGGAAAGACGGTTTAGGGTATACAGTGCTTGCTGTGTAGGTATGAAGACCACAGTTTAGACCCTCAGCCCCCAGTAAGTGCTAGGCAGGAGTGCTGACCCATGTGTTACCCCAGTGCTTAGAAGGCACACCTAGGGAATCCCCAGAGCAAACTGTCTAGCTGGATGATCTGGACCAGCGAGCCCTGGTTTCAGCCAGAGATCCTGACTCAAGTAGAGCCATCCAGGAAGCAATCCTACATCAGTCTCTGCTCTCCGCATACATGTACATGAAACACAAGTACATGTGCGTGGGCACACACATTTGTGCCCTCAAGCATGAACGAATACACACAAACAAGCATGCACACTGTTCTGTAACAAGTTAATCAACAATTATATTGAATAGGCATCTAATGGTAGTTTCTTAATAATCACTTGGAAAAATATTACAAAAGAATAAAGAAAACACTAATTTAAAATGCATAGTATCTATTTAATTCAGGACAATTCTCGATATATGAGAAAGAGTTTACATAATAATTTATTTTCCTTAGCTTAAAAATTCCAACAATTTAGTTAAGGAGTTAGGGGAGAAACACACACCTCACATACACTCACACATAAAGAACATATGCACATACACACAAATACATTTGCCTTATGTAATGTGAATATAAAAGCAACATCTAGCGTTTATTGGGTTCTCGTTATGCACGAGTTACTGAACCAAGTACCCTATAGGAATCATTTTACTTCATCATTACAAGAAACAGTGAGAGGCCAGTCAGCAGTATTACTTTTCAAAGAAGAAAATTGCTAATCAGGGAAACCCGTATGCGTAGTCTGCACTCACCCAGCTGAGACACAGAAAGGCAAGATTCAAGTAGATCTCTGAATAATGTCCAGAACTCTATGAAAGCAAATATTAGTTTAAAAATTAAGTGCTTAAGTGTAAGTTAGGACCCCCACCAGCTATTGTAAGGTAATCTGAGGTAAATTAGCCTCTACAGACACTAGAAAACTTCAGGTGTGGGAGGTGACTGTGGAGAAGGAAGGTACCTCAGGAGGGACCTGTATCCAGAGAATGCTACCTTGGGTAGAGAAGAGATGCTTTTGAACCCAAAGACTTGAAACAAAAATGAAGAAAACTCAGACTGCTGGGATAGGTTTCGGAGCACGAATGAGGTTATCACTTCCTCTGGTAAATAATTGGGAGGCGTTAGGAGTTCAAAACAACATCTTTAATGAGTATGTTCTGGAATGTGATTAGCCCTTTCTGAGTCTATGTCTTAAGGGGTTTATTTTAAGTACTTCAATAAAATACAGAGTAAATATTGTTGCTTTTATTGTATATATTTAAAAATATTAGTCATAACCCAGAGGATTTCAGGATGAGTGCCAAAATATCTGCGAATAAAATTTTTAATGTTTAAAAAAGACAATAAAATACATGAAAGCTTGTTCCCATTTCTTCCCTTAACTACCAGAAAATGAAGTGGAAGGAAGTTACCAAGAGAAATGTATTAACATTGTAGACTTATTGCATTATGTGCTATTTAAAACTGCTTGTTATTCTTCAGGCTAGTTAATTTGATTAATTATCAGCAGACCTATGAAGACAAGCTCTGGCAGGGTACTCAGCAAACTCAGAATACATTTTCCATGTTATCCTATATATAGAAGCCAAGTAAATACATTTTTACCCCTCTCAGGAGACCAGCCTTGGAAAAGTAACTCAATGTATTTAAATTGTGAGAAAATAAGTCGTCCATATTCTCATGGTTTCTACAACATTCATCTTTTAGAGTGCTGTCTCTTCTCTCTCTCTCTCTCTGTCTCTCTGTCTGTCTCTCTCTGTCTCTGTCTCTCTCCCCCCCCCGTCTATCTCTCATTATTACAAAATACTGGTTGCCTCTGACAATTTTATTCAACTTAATACTCCGTTTAAATTTCTTAGGCTCAGGCTAATGTGTGAAGAAAACATAAATACAACCACAGCATGATATTTTAATTTTGAAAAGTATTAGTCACTATTAAATCATTTCCTGGAGGGAGTAAGTGAATTTCTGGTTGAATGTGCGTTGTTGTCAGGGCACAGGCCTGTTAAGGACCTCACTGTCTTAAACCCATGGCGGTGGCCTGGCCTTTCCTGGGTAAGAGTCAGAAAGCTAGAAAAGCCTTCCTCAGATCCCAGTGCAGAATCTGACTGTGTGTGCAGAAAATGTCCACTGTAGCTTGTCCTCCACGAAGATGTTTATGACCTAAATATTGCTCCATTTCTACCCAGAGTAGCCAAGTGTAAACCTGTCTCCGTGTTCAGCTGTGTGCAGTAACCCACCTCACTGTTCAGTATATATACACCTGCTGAGATTCTGGGATGCTCTGGCTTCTCCATCAGAGAGCCCAGCCTATGTGATCGGTCTGTTTGTCATTTCTTCTGTTCCTTGTCACCCCCCCCCGTTAGGACAGTTCCTGGAGCCATGCAGAGCATGGCAGTTCCTGAAGAACTGTCACAGTTCTTTGTCTCAATCTCCAAGGTGGCTTAAGGTATTTCTGTTCTGTTTTATCTTTTGTCACTGTAAAGTTCAGTTACAAAGACAATAGTTTCAGAAAGGTAAGTTGAAGCAAATATTTCACATATTTTAAAGACTGGCCAAATTCAAGCTCTTGCTGTGTCGCCAAGAGTTGTGTCACCTGTCTCCAGATCTAGCACTTGGAAGGAGGAGGCAGGAGGATAGAGTTCCAGGCCAGCCACTACATAAAGACCCTGTTTCAAAACAACACGATAAAAAAAAGTCAACCAATCAGGACCATAAATCACAAAAGAGTGGGAGAAGTTGCCTCTTCTCCATTTTTCTCTGCTGTATTTTTCTTCTAAAATTCCTTTAAGACAGTTTTAGAAAGGAACCCTGTAATGAGGGACCAGTGGAATATACATTTCCATGTGTGGGGCATGGGGAGGGTGTAGGTTTTCATGGGAAAGCCATCACTGTGAAGATTCATCTAAACAAAGACTATGATGTACTCCAGCTCAGTTAGGAATCCTACGGTGAGGAGAGGCTGGCAGCATTTTCAGCAGTGGGATGGCTCAATGAAGTTCAAGCCTGCCGATCTGAGTTTGATTCCTGGAACCCACATGGTGGAAGGAGAGAACCCATTCCCAGGAATTGTCATCAGGTCCATGCATACACACAAAATAATTGACCAACTAGTTAATAATAAATTTCATTTTTAAGAAAACTATTTTATCACAAAACTTCACTAACTCTTTGGCAGGAAGGTATCTTGAAGAGAGCACTGGAAACTGCAGGCTGAAGAAACTGTGCAAACCTTCTCCATTGGGCATTTGGTGCTCTGACCAGCCGTTCAATTTCCTAGCAATGTTTTTGTTAACGTGGTTGGTAGAGTCTTCTATTTTGTCACAAACCTTGTCAGTTGTGTTCCTCAGGTCTCTATCCCACCACTCCTTGATTGGCTGTGCTCTCGTGGTACTCAGAAACGGAGCTGGCTAGCACTCTCTGCAGAATCCAAGTCAGTGCTAAAATGCAGGAGAACACAGTAATCTGGAAGATCCTCCCAGGCATAGCCCCAAGATCTGTCTCCTTGGTGATTATGTGGGCCTCTCGGCTGGGCAATGGCTTCAGCACTCGCCCACCAGACTCTGTCAGTCACTTCTCAGAAAAAGAAGGAGGCAAGTTAGGAACCTGTTTTTCTAGTTTTGTTTTTTGTTGCTGCTGTTTGTTTCCTTTTATTAAAATAACCTCCCCCCACACACACATAACATTTCCCTAATATGGTTCCCCTCCCCCTACATTTCCCCATCCCTCCCCATTTCCCCTCCCATCTGGATCCATTCTCTTTCTGTCTCTCATTAGAAAACAAGCAGCTTTGAAAGGATAATATTAAAATAAGATATAACAAAAACTAACACATCAGAATAGGACAAAACAGACAGAAAGAAGGAAAAGAGCCTAAGAAAAGGCACGCGAAACATATACACAAAAAGACTCACTTTTTTTAACTCTCAGGAATCTCATAAAAACACTATACTGGAAGGACTTATAGCGTCTAATGAGAGAAAAAAATGTATATATATATATATATATATATATACATATATAATAAAAAGTAAGATACAAAAGACAACAGACCTACAATAATTCCAGAGAGTTCCTTTTCTGTTGGCCATCTACTGCTGGACATGCAGTAGACTCTTAAGGGCAGTTTGTTTCCCCAGTGAGACTTTGTTCAAAGAAACTGAATTTTCATTTGAAGTGGTTATCAACTGGAGATGGCTTTTGGGTTAGGGATGGGGACATGTGTCCACTTCTTCAGGTATAGGACCCCATCTGGTACAGACTTGTACAAGACCTGTGCATGCTGCTGCCTCAGTCTCTATGAATTCATATGTGCATGGACCCTGGGTATCCTTGTTTCCCTGGTGTCCTCCATCCTCTCTGGCTCTTATACTATTCTGACTCCTCTTTCTCAGGGTTCCCAGAGCCTTGACAGAAAGGATTTAGTGGAGACATCCTGTTTAAAGTGATTATTATCTGCATAATGTCTAGTTGTGAGTTTCTGGATTTGTTCCTATCTTTCTTTGATGATGAGTAACAAGGCAAAGTATAGTGGAATGTCATCATTATGAGTCATTTTATTGCTACATTTGTTTTTGAACAGTTGTTTTATCTGAAGTACCTGGGCTATCTAGTCTAGGTTCTTGATCATGTAAGCAGAGTTGTATATGGGTTCCAACATTGCTGTCCCCATTTAAATAGTCTCATTCAAGTGTCTCTCTCCATTTTCCCTACCTTCTCTACTTCTTACTCCCTGCCCCCACTTGGCCCCTCATTTCAATTCCCCCATCCATCTATAACTATTTCAATTTACTAGTGAAATCTATCTGTCCTCAACTAGTCCTTTACTTGTTACTTAAATTCTTGTGGTTCTACAAACTGTAGCTTGGTTGTCACTGACTTAGCATCTAATATCCACATATGAAGTGCATGCCATATTTGTCTTTCTGGGTCTGGGTTACCTCACTCAGGGTGACATTTTCTAATTTATTTCTAAATTTCTCATTTCCGTTTAGCTCAAAATTTCATGATTTCTCTTGCATCATTTAATATTCTTTCTTTTCTGTGTGTTTAGTGTTTTGGTATATTGTGTGCTGAGGGGAATTTCTTGTCTAGTTCAGTCTATAGTGTTCTGCATGCTTCCTGTACCTTTATAGGCATCTATGATCTTGTTGCAAATATTTTCTATTCCTATTATTCTTAGGTTTGGTCTTTTCATAGTGCCTCAGATTTTCTGGATGGTTTGTGCCAGGAATACACACACACACACACACACACACACACACACACACACACACACACACACCATACACACATTTTCTCCAACTAATATATTCATTTCTTCTATCATGTCTTTAAAAGCTGAGATTCTTTCTTCCCTGCCTGTATTCTGTGGGTGAGGCTTACATTCCTAAATTTTTCATTTCCAAATTTCCCTGAGTTTGTGTTTTCTTTATTGATTGTATTTCCACGTTCAGGTCCTGAACTGTTTTATTCATTTCCATCTACTGTTCGTGTTTTTTGTAGATTTCTTTAAAGGATGTACTCATTTCTTCTTTAAGGACCTCTATCATATCTATAAAGGAGGGCATTTTAAGGCCTTTGTCTTGTGTTTCACTCATGTTGCAATTCTCAGGGCCTACTTTGGTAGGGTTGCTGGGATCTAGTGGAGATGTATTATCCTGAATGTTATTTATTGTGTTTTATGCTGGATGGGGGGGTTCTAGGTCTCATATGTGTTTTTTGTCTATGTTGGGTGGCAGTTTGTTCCTTGGGTTCTGTTGCTCTCTCTGGTTCTTAGGAAGTTGTGGTAGCTGTGTGTTGCCTGGTAGGAAACTTTTCTGGGATCTTGCTAGGTGTGGTCACAGGCAATTCCCGGGATACTGTGATTCCAGGTAGTAGAGACTAACAGGTGTGGACTGGTGATGGGGGGAGGGGTGGTAGTTCATCAACTGAAGGAAAGCAGAGTGCTCCCCCAGGATGTGCTTACTCCCCTGGTAATGGAGGTAGCAGTTAGTACGGTACAGAGCTGGGCGTGAGACCGGGAAATTGGATACAAAGGAAAGGAGGCAGTGTGAAAATCTGAAGCTCACCCATCTGCTCTGCTGGCCCTACTTGCTTTTCTAGCAGACCTGGCTTGTGGGTTCCCATGGAATTCCTGCTGATGGGCTAAGTGAACGGCAAGAAGTGTGGGAGGGCAAGACTTGTATGACCCGCTGGCATGGGGGCCAGGGAGGCTGCAGCAGGCGGTCTGCCTCAAAGCTAAGGGTGACCATGGAGGAGGGATGGACTTGGAGGAGATGAAAAAGAGGTGAAGATCTGGCCTACTTGCTTCCCTGGCCAGAGTGCGCTGTCTCAGATTCCTGTGAATATGAAGACAGCAAGTCATAAAGTCACCCATGATGCTGCAGTTTGCTATGTCGCTTCAGCAAATTAGGTTGAATTTTCTGAATACTAAAATGAACATATATGTGTGTATGTATGTATGAACATATATGTGTATGATGGGCAATTATTATATAAGATATGTTATTATACATCTTTCAGGACATTTAAAAATTCAAAATAAATCTTTTTAAGTTCAAAGAAAACCTTCCCTGCTTGCTAGTTTTGTGCCAACTTGACATAAACTAGTCATTTTAGAAGAGAGAACTTCCATTGAGAAAATGTCCCTACCAAATTATCCTTTGGGCAAACCTATGGCGCATTTTCTTGACCGATGATTAACGTAAGGGGCCCATCCCTCTGTGGGCAGTGAGTCTTGGGTTTTACAAGAAAACAGGCTGAGCAAGCCATGAAGACCTGCAAGCAAGCAGGTCTCCATGGTCTGGGCAACAGCTCCTGCCCCCAGGTTCCTGCCTTGAATCCCTGCTCTAGTTCCCCTGGATGATGGACCTGAGGCTTCCAAGCACAAATAAATTGTGCTTTTGCCACTTTGCTTTGGTCATGGTGACTTATCGCAGCAATAGGAATACACCTTCCAATACAGCCCTTACAGAGTAACTCAAGTCATTTTGGGTGACCTCTATAAAGGTTGAGTTCTGTGTCACTTTCAAATGGGGGATAAATTATCCACATTATTGTAGTTTCTGAGAATTTAAGGTGGATTTTAATAATCATTTTCAGATATAATACTGGCCCCTATCAACTGTTCAGACAAAATAAATGTGTATATGCTAAAGTGTAATTATCCTTTTTCTCAGATCCCGTTTCTATGTTCACTACATCCTCAACTTAAGACATTTATGTCAAGATGTCCTAAAATGAATGGATTGTTGTGACTTATACCTGAGTCACTGTATCCACGGTATGTCTAACCCAAAACAAACAGACACACACACCTCTCAGTCAGGTCAAAGTTGTTCTTGGCTGTCCCTGTCTCATTCCAGATCCTGCTTCCTCCATTCCTGCACGTAGCCCCTTCTGTTTTTGCTGGCTTTGCATCCTTACGCTTGTGGTGGGAAACTTCAGATTTCACTGACGTGGGCCTTCCTTTGCTCTCAGTTTTCGAGAGATGTGGCATGCACTTCACTTTTGGCTCTGCTGATGGTTTGAACCTGAGACACTATTCCCAAGTGACCCTATGGAACCAGAGAGAGGAGAGGATGGTGGTAGGAGAGATGAGCTCTGGACTCAAGGCCTTTTCCTATAAAGAAGTATGACAATCTACTACAGATCTCTGTCTCTCCCCACTTTCTAGTACAGTATGGGTAATCTATTTAAACATGAAAGTTTATTCAATTTAGGTCATGGAGCTTGAAAAAATCAATTGTCAAAGGGCCATCATCAGATTAAAACCATCACGGGATGACAAAAAAAACAAAACAAAACAACAACAACAAAAAACAAGCACTCTAGACCGAATCCCTTCTATATCAAGGTTACCACCTGTAAGCGTTTCGGGTGGGGACAGGTATTCTGGCACTCGGGAGCCACAAAATACTGAGTGTACACAGCTCAGATAGAGAGGCATCCTGGAGCTCAGGAGCCAAGGATTACCACAGGTCATAGTAAGCATAGCAGCTTACAGCCTTGCCTCAGGGAAAGGCTTCCCTAGTGAATCGGCTCCACTCATGCAGGAGAGGGTCTTCCAGCTGGGGCTGCTTGCCCAGTGTAGCAGCTTTGCTCCACAGGAGGTTTCTAGGGCGAAGTTGCTACAGTTCAGCCCTGCTCCGGGGAGAGTGGAGAGTGGAGAGCAGAGAGCAGAGAGTGGAGAACAGAGTGTAACAAGTTGGGTTAAGTGACACGGGAGACTCATCTTCATTATGGGCAGTGTCATCCCATAGTCTTAGTTTCTAGACCAAATTAAAAGATAACGACAAGGGCATTCACTATTGTCTGCTTCCTGACTGCTGGTCCAATGGGGTCAGCCACGTCATGCTCTTGTTGCCAGGACTACGCTACCATGATGTACTGTACCCTTGAATAGTTACCCAAAATCAACCCTTCCTTCCTCAAGTTGCTTTTGTCAGATATTTCATGATAGAACAAGAAATGTAAGTAGCTCAATAATATACATGTATTATCTGATTCTTTTCTGAAGGGAGAAGTCCAAAACGGGACATCTGTGGTGGGGCTTACAGCAAGATACTAGATGTGACACTTTCTAGCGGTTCTAAGGATGCCTTTTCTAGTCACTAGAGATTGCCTACACTTTTTGAATTCAGGCCACAAATATGCTTCTGTCACCTCATTTCCTTATTCTCCTACCTCGTCTTTTGCCCACAAGAACCACTGTTTTCATTTTTGGGCTCACTTAGGGAATCCACAACCATGTCCCTATTTCAAGATCCTCAATTCAAGTCAATCTCGAAACTGCTTTCTACCATACAAAGTAACACATTCACCGGTTCCTGGGAATTGGGTTGTGGACATCTCTGAGTAGTGGTGGAGCTTATTCTGCCACCACAAAAGGGGAAACATTTAAAGAGATGAAACAGAGGTAGAATCTCAGGCCTTAAACGACATAGGAGAGATGGTAGTATTGATACCGCAAACCATTCTCTCCCGTTGGAGCCCCATTGTCCCTTCGTTGCCCTGCATGCCCTGCCTGCCCAGAGGTGCACCCTGTGATCTCATCCTCTTTTCTGCACTGAACTGAAACTCCTCCGGAGTTCATCTCAAAGATAATGAGCTAATCTAGGCTAATGAGCTCTTCAGGCTGGCTGCATCATCGCTGAGGATTCCTATTGAAGACAATGCCCCACTTTCGCTGACCTTGGTAGTTAGTGAGTTAGTACTGAGGAACTGTAGCCAGGTAGAAAGGGATGGAGACCCCACTGGGAACGTGCTTTTCAGAGAGATCCTTTCATGTCACTCCAGGCAAGAAATCACTTTAACCTACTTCCCCTTACATAGACCTGGCCCTGGAGAGTGGTGGGTCTTCCTACTGGGCCAAATAATTACTTCTCAGCCTTTTCTAGTGTTGGCTAGAAAATATTCAAGAGGAAAGTTATTCTCCTCAGTGTCAATTTGTGACTTATAGATTATGAAAATCTTTATCTATATCTCTTCATCATTCAGAAGATAGAAAGTCAGGCTGCTTGTGGCACTCTCTCACTTGTACTAAATAATGCACTTAGAGGGAGGTACTTATATGTCTCTAACAGCTTTGGGAAGCCTCTGGACTCAGGGGTCCTTTCCCAAAGAAATGATCTTATACATACCTGATTTTTACTTGATTTTGTATCTGTTTAAGATTCATAAGCATTCCCCAAACCAGGAAACCTTTCTTGACTCCTGACTGGGATCTTTTGGTTGAGTGACACTGACTTCTATCCTGGAATCATCATCACTACATTTGTTACTGGAATTTTATTAAACTGTGGAGTCCTTGGACACAGCGGATGCTCCACTCTGACTGGGTTGTTGCTCTGATGAGTAAAAGAAAGCGATGAGAATGTCACAGACAGGGAGGCACAGACACTGCCTCACTGAGATCCTGCAAAAACCAATCTCAAAGCATAAGGATTCTAAATGCAGCAGGAAGGAGGACAAAGACTGGAGAACTAGATGTTTGCATTGAGGTATTTTAGTGTGACACTTTTTTACATCCTATTGCTTTCAGTTTTCTCCACATATCCCACCAAGTGCCTGCCACACAGGAGGACTTAGTATGTCTTCATTGATTAATGGATTGCTTGCTCAAGAAGCAAAGCTTAAGTCAGGGCTTGTATTAATCTGCTTTTGTTAGCGTTGTGTAATGCCTGAGGCTGGCTAATTTATAAAGACAACAATGTTGTCTTGGCTTATGGTTTAGCAGTCACATCTATGACCTTGCCTGCACCAGGCTTTTTCCTTTGGGCCACCGACCAGCTCCCAAATCAGGACACAAAGACTTATTAGTTACAAATGCTCGGCCTAGCTTAAGCTCCTTTCTGGCTAGCTCTTTTAACTTAAATTACCCTGTTTCTTTTTATCTACCTTTTGCCTTGTTTTTTTGTTTTGTTTTTACTTTCTTGCTTTCCTCCTGTATACCTTTCACTGCTGCTTATGTCTGTCTGTCTGGTGGCTGCCTGGCTTCTTGCCCTGGGTGTATCCCTCCTTTTCTCCCTCATTCTCCCCTTCATTTCTTCTTTCCCCGTATTCATTCTCTCTGCCCACCAGTCCCACCTATCATTGTTCTTCCTCTTTATTGGCTATTTAGCTCTTTATTAGACAAATCAGGTGTCTTAGGCAGGCAAGGTGAAACAAACGCAACACATCTTTACATAATTAAACACACACATTTACATCGCTAAACAAATGCAGCATAAACAAATGTAACACACGTTATACAATTGAATTAATATTCCATACCATAAACAAATGTAGCATGCCTTTGCGTAGTTAAAATAATACTCTGCAACACTTGCCAGCAGAGTACAGAGACTCAGATGGGAAGAATTAGGGACTGAACCTGCGCCTCTCTCCCCCGCCTCTCCTCTTTTTACTAAAGCCAGCAGAGTTCAGTCACTATTCTAATGAGCATGTCAAATGCTAACCCCTTCCCAAAAGCCCCATCACCATTTCCAACCCTTTACAACTTCAAAAATGGGGGTTAAACTTCAGCGTGAATTCTGGATAATCACCATATTCAAAACTGCATTATGGCTATATACCATATACCCATAAGATTACTTTATCCCAAGTCTACATAATCAGTATAAACTAGAGGTGACGGTCAACAGTCATCGACTTCCTCTTGTGAAGTGCATCCCATAGTTTCTGGTGGACATTAGTAACAGGTGCAAAATGTGACTTGCCCTCATCTTGCCATTGATAACAAAGAAATAGGATAAACATAACAGTAAAATGACACAGCATATGTGTGTTAGTGTGTGTGAGAGAGACAGAGAGAGATACAAAGAGAGAGAGAGAGAGAAAGAGAGAGAGAGAGAGAGAGGGAAAGAGGTAACTTTGATATTAAAGATATTGGAAAATGTACCTTGCTTGGCCTGATGCCAATAGGGAAGAGTAGGGAGAAATTCTACGTATCCATAGTGCTAACCACTCCTTTCTCCCTATAGGGAAGGCCACAGAAGACTTAGTGACAAGCATGAAGAGATGCCAGCCTTTCCTTCACAGCAGTCATTCAATTCTGCCTCCCTGTGTGATACTCAGGAAGGACAACTCAGAAATGTATTTGCCACTCTAAGAGACCCAAGTGGAACAAAGCTTAGAAATTTGGTGCTATGTCTATAGCAAGCCAAAATGTAAATGACAGCTGTCATGGGATTATAAAAAGGCAAGCCAAAGGATGAAGAAGCTAGGACAAATGAAGCCAACCATGAAAACCATGAAGAAATAATCAAGGAAATTCCTATCTCATTACCTCCCTGGTCTGAGAAAAATACAACTTCTTTGTTCATCTGTTGATAATGTTTTGAAACAGGGTCTCCCATACTCTGTAGCCCAGGTTGGCCTGTGTAACTCAGACTGCCCTTGGCTTCTTTTTTTTTTTTTTTTTTTTGGTTTTTACGAGACAGGGTTTCTCTATATTGTTTTGGAGGCTATTGGTCCAACCCGGCCTCAAACTCACAGAGATCCGCCTGCCTCTGGCTCCCGAGTGCTGGGATTAAAGGCGTGTGCCACCACTGCCCGGCCCTGCCCTTGGCTTCTAGTGATCCTCCTACTTAACTTCTCAAATGCTGAATTTGAGGTGAGAATCACAATGCCCAACCCTCTTTATCATTTGTCAAGTTTGAGATGGGTGCCTGATATCTGTAGCAAAAGCATCCTGACAGGCATGCGCAACAATGTCTGGGTTCCTTTTTTGTATACCCTGCAGCTGTTGTGTTCATGGAAATAGAAAACCATCTTGGGTACCACTGTACAGAAAGCACTGAAATCATAAATGGGCGTGGTGGATTGCTCACACTTTGGAGGTAGAGGCAGAAGGAGCAGGTGTTTAGGATAATCCTTGGCTACATAGCATGTTCAAAGTCACCCTGGCCTCCAGGACATACTGTCTCAAAAGCCAGCCAAACAAACAAAACGCATAAATGTTCATAAGCAAGATAGCGTATGCAGGGGATAACTAACAGTATTGACATATGGTAACAGAAATGAATACTACTTAAATACAAGAGGGTTTCTCCCA